ATAGTTAAAAATCCTATATAAAATGATAAGAATACTTGAATCTAGCCAGTGTAGATAATATGTTGACTACCCGAATAGACAGTGAAATAAGCAGTGACAGCTAATCACTATAATAGTAGCATACATGTGAAATGCATACCTCCCGTGGTTTGCCCCATGGCTCGTAACTGCGAACGCATATAGACCTCTGGATCTAACGCAGACGCAAGCCACGACTGTGACCACCCGGCTGTCGAGTCCGTAATCTTCTGACACTCTGCGATCTCCGCAGCCTGTGCTTCTGCTTCGGCCAGTCTTGCGGCTATCACGCTGAGACGGCCAGTCAGACTGATACGGTTGGTAGTAGTCGAGGCAATCGAAAGACTTGCCTGACCACTCGCTGTTTGATCACAGGCTGGAGCAGTGGAATCAAGCTCCATTATCTCATCTCGACTACACATTGGTAATGGTTTTGTGAAGCCGTCTATGATAATTGAGGCCTAAATGAAAAGATTAAATAGGCTCTGTATGCTATGAAATGATTGAAATTATGTGCATGAATAAATGAATTTATGTGTAAACATTTATAGGTACCTAAGATCCTATACAGGGAAGTTTAAGTCGTTAGCTTAACTGGAGCTTGACTACATTATCCTTTTGATACAGCACTAAGGTTTAGTAATGCACCTAGATCTTAACTGGCAGAATTAACATTCCATCTGAAATCTTCGCTACTTGGTGAATTTTGCTACTTGGCAGCCGAACAATTGATGCCAACAAGGCGTTCGGCATTATAATCATGCACCTACAGTAAGCCAAGCAGGACAGTGGAAAATTTAAATCAGTTTAATTAAAGATATGAAGACCAAGATGAAGTCTCTGGTATGGTCGCACTCTCCTTTCGATTTATAGAAGCGGGTTGACCTCGTTGTCGCAACTTGGTCTAGTTGTCAGGGCAACTAAGTAGAACGCACCTAGTCCGAAGTCGTCTTCCATCAGCATCAGAAAGTGGACTTGGCACATTCTCAAACGTTTCGCCTGCATTATAGTCGGCATCATCAGTCAGTTTTGCTATTCTCCGCACCAAGCTATGAACTCATCAAAGAGACAAGTGAAGTCAATCCCTCCACAAACATTCTGCAGAAAACGGTTACACTTTCACTCCTCTTTCTTTCCTTGATCCAGGCGTCTCCTTTTTATTGGTATTGCTCTATTCTTGTTTTCCCCCAGTTTGCTTAGGCAG